CAGGCTGTTTTTGAACTCCTGACCTTGAGCAAACCTCCCACCTCGGCCTCCCAGAGTGCTAGGATTACAGGCGTGAGCCACCGCGCCTGGTCATGATTTTTTTGTTTGTTTTTGTTTTTGAGAGAGAGAGTGTCTTATTCTGTTGCCCGTGCTAGAGTGCCGTGGCGTCAGCCTAGCTCACAGCAACCTCAAACTCCTGGGCTCAAGCAATCCTCCTGCCTCAGCCTCCCGAGTAGCTGGGACTACAGGGGCACACACCATGCCTGGCTAATTTTTTCTATTTTTAGTAGAGATGGGATCTTGCTCTTGCTCAGGCTGGTCTCAAACTCCTGACCTCAAGCAATCCTCCCATCTCAGCCTCCCAGAGTGCTAGGATTACAGGCATGAGCCACCGCGCCCGGCCAGTTATGGTGATGATTTTATGGATTAGGAAATACAAGTTCGAAAAGATTAACGTTTGGCCATAGTCACACAGCTTCAGTGGTGTGCTGGTGACCAGGTCTCAAACAAAACAAAACAAAACAAATCAAGTCCTGATTTGTCACATATGCTAATTCCTGCGGTGTAAATATTCCCACCATGGCTGATTTCAAGCTACCTGTGGTTTCACAACCATTCATCAAATCTCAGAATATTTAACAATCGGCTCTTGTCCCCGTGGCCCCCCACTGCAGCGGCTCGTAAGTTGTGGAGCATTTAGACCTGTGCCCGGGACACTGGGAGCACTTCATAAACGCTCTGTCCTGTTGCAAATCAGAGTCAGCAGCGTTCACTGAGTGCTCTCCGTACCCCCATTTCACAGAACAGGAGACTGAGGTTTGGATGAGTTCAGCTAATTACCCCAGGTCACAGCACAAGCCAGTTACTTGCTGCCCTACTTCGCCTGGGCACTGTCTTCTCTGAACAGGGCTGTGCCTAAGCCTACATACACTCGTCATCCCACACCCGCTTGGAGGGAATTTCCCAGGCCCCACAGAGATGGGCGCCTCGCCCTCTCCCAGACTGGCTGCTCCACCCCCAAAGCCCCGAGGTAGGTTGGCAGGAGGGAAGCTCTTGCTGGCTGGGGCCCCTGCCAAGCCACACCTGCCCCAGTGCTCCTGAGCTCAGATCTGTCCTGGCTTGTGCCTGCCGCACGTGGGCTTGGGGAAGCGCTGTTTTTGGCAGCTGGTGAGTAGAGGCCCTCGTCCTCAAGGGTGGTAGGGGATGAGGCTGTGACTCACTGAGCTCTGGTGGGTGGGAAGCTGCAGCTGGGGAGGGCCAGATCCTAGCCCAGGGGAGGCTTCTCAGCCCCGAGGGCACGTAAAGGCTCGGGTCACACTGCCAAGAGCTGGGTTTCCAAGAACCATGTGGCTGAAGGGACAAGGGGACACTCCTCCCACCATCGCAGGACCCAGGGCAGAAACTTCAGGTGGCAGGTGAGGGGTTAAGGAGCAGCATCTGGGCTAATAGGGCAGGGCCCTAAGGTCTCGAGAAGGGGGCTGCTCCCCCACTCAAGGGTAGCCTGGAGAAATGAGATGCCCTTGAACTCTCTGTGCCTGGGTTGGGGAAAGGGTCCCTAGTAGTCTGGGTGGGGCATCGGAGGGGCAGAGGATGTTGGTGGGACCGTGGCCACTGTGGGGACGGGAGCCAGGTGAGGGGGAGGGGGGAGAGGCAGGGATGATGGAAAGCCCACAGTTGGGAGGAACCGAGGTTGGAGGTGGCCCAGGTGGGGCAGGGTGTGGGGGCACCATGGCAGGAGACTATGCAGGGCGGGGCACCCCACCCCCTGGACATTCTGAGACCCTGCATCGTCCCTGCAATGCCAGGGAGGGGGAGGGGCTTGGCCTGGCGATGGAGGACAGGCTGTGTGGGGGATGGGAGCACAGCCCCTGCCACCCGCGTCTCCAGGCTGGGGCCCTCCCAGTGCCGCCGGTTCACCAGCCTTGTGGGCCTCACTGAGTGAGCCGGGAGGCCCACCCTCTCTCTTGCCTAGTAGGCCCTGGAGCAGAAGGCCAGGTACTTACTCTGGCCTGCTGGGCGAACTTGGGCAAATCTCTAGCCCTCTCTGAGCCTCGACAACCTCATCTGGAAAACAAAATGCTTATATCTTAGGGGCGCTGTGAGGATTAAATGGGAAGGTGGCTGCCAAGGGCCCGGCACTGACACTGTCAGGCTCTGTGGCACATAGTAGGTGCTCTGCCAGTGTCAGCTTCCTGGGGTTGGGCCCGGGAAAGAGGTGGGGCAGACCTCTTACCCACAGCTTCATGTGTCCCGGGATCGGTGTCCGCCGGACCCCAGCCGGCCCAGCCTCACTCCAGCCTGGGCCCTGAGAGCCCAGGACCTAACGACAGAGTGACCCTTCCTCCCACCAGGAAAAGGGGTTTGTAATCTCCCTCGTCCCACTCTTGGCTCCCAGCCCCTTCTGGTTCTGCAGGTCCCTGTGGCCCTCGTCGGCCTGGAGGTCCCCTAGAGTGGGAGGCCGGAGAGGGACCATCCCAGTCTTACAGGACACGGCCTGGCCTTCTGGGAAGATGGAAGAATAGCACATTCCTCCTGAAATAATTGTCCTGGAGCTATTTCCAGCAGCTCTTAGTGCCCAGGCCAGAAATGGCTGGTGATCTCGATGCCCGGGTACCTTCAGGACAAACAGCCCAGAGGCCCAGCCCTCTAGCTGGCTGGCTGCCCCCGGCCCCCAGCCCAGAGCTGAACCAAGCCTCGGCTCGGGCTCCACAGGGAACTGTGGGCACTGCTTCCCCGGCTCACTGAGTTCCCCACGCTCCTCTTCCTCCTTCTGGGCAGCCCCTCGGATCCCTCCTCCTGGCTCCGTGTTGCGGTGGCTGTGACTACCCAACCCCAGGCGGGGACGGAGGGTGGGGGGGGGTGACTCGGGGAAGCCCTTCACTCTCAGTGACCGTGGATTGCAGAGGGCCCAGGCAGGGTTTTCTACGCTAAAGCACTTTGTAATCCTGGATCTGGTCATTAAGAAACTTCAGATAAACCCAAATTGGAGAACATTCTCCAAAACGACCAGCCCGTGCTCTTCAAAAATGTCCATGTCATAAAAGACAAAGGAAGGCGACTATTCCAGATTGAAGGAAGCTAGGAGCGAAAGAGACATAGGGCTGAATGCAATGCCTGATCCTGAACTGGATCCTGGATTGGACAAATAATTGCCATGAAGAACATTAGAGGGACAACCGGTGAGATGTGAATACAGACTGTGTATCAGATAACATTGAACACCCGGGATTTGATCATTGCAATTGTGCCTATGTTCGAAAACACTCTTGTTCACCCAGCATGAGACATGCATGGAAGTAATCAGGGGTTAAAGATCCTGTTGTCGGCAACTTACTCTCAAAAAAATAATAAGTATATATGTGGGGGGTGATAAATATGGCAAAAGTGTTAATAATTAGCGGATTTGGATGAAGAGTGTATGGGCGTTCATGTCAATGACAGTTGTCAGTGTCTCAGAAATTTTCAAAATAAGAAGTAAAACTGTATATTCTATATTAGAGGGAAGGAAATGATGGAGAGTCTTTCCTGGCAGATACCACGAGGCCTCAAAGGATAATTCTGTTCATTTATTCAAGAAATACGTACTGGATGTGCTGCGTGCACAAACCAGGCCCCAGCCAGGGACATGGGGACTGAAAGGAGCAGTGGCATTTGTTCCCTGGAGAGTCCTACGGCTCTTAGCCAGGGCTCAGCACATAGTAGGTGCTCAACATGGGGTTGTTGACTGCATGTGGGAGAAGCGAGAAAGGGAGGAAGGAAGTTGCTATTAGGCCCGAGAATGGGTCATGCTAAGGGACAGCGCTTAGGGAGACTTGATAAATGTTTGCTGACCCAATGAGAAAAGAGAAGAAATCGATGCTGACCACAGCAAGCAGTTATATGTGAGCTAGCATTGGACTTCCTGGCTCTCAGCACAATTAAACACAAGAAAAACAAGGAACACTGGACAACAGCCATCCCAGCCTCATTTCAAAAATAGGGCCCATCTGTCCTGGCAGGCTTAAAGTGGCTTTGGCCCCGAGGCAGGGGCCTGACCAGAATGACCCCCTGGAGGCCCCTCCCAGCTGTAGGATTCCGTGATTCTGTGACACGACCAGCAGTCTGGAATAGTCTGGAATGGCGGCATGAAGGCATCCCTGGTGGAGAGCCGTAGGAGGTCTAAGTCATCTGCCTCCTAAAAGACAGAGTGAGAGGGGAGAGGGCCCAGCCGGCCAGAAGGGGAAGGGAGGGGCCCTGCGGGGTCAGCTGTCAGTCGCTTCCTATTTCTCCAGAGGAGGAGATGGGGTGGGGTTGGGCGAGGGAGGGGAGAGGCAAAGGTCTGGACATTCCGCCCATTTCAGACCCAAAAGACAGGGGCAGCTGAAGGCCGTGGGCAGGAGGAGAGGCAGGCAGCTGCTTTCTGGGTGGGGTGGGCTCCAATACTGCCCTGTTTCCACTTGGCAGATGTGGAAATTCAGCGTCGAGCTGGCTGTGGTGGGGGAGGGAAGTCACACAGAGCCTCTTTCTGGCTGGGGGTGAAGCAGGGTGGGTACTGGGGAGCCAGGGGACTATGGGGACAATGGGCGACACTGCCTTTCGCTGGGCCCAGGCAGGCCCGGGGCTGGGAGGTGGGGATAAACCGACTGAGCATCTCTTTGGCCTGGTCAGGTCTTCATGTCCATGAAGTGCCCACAGTTGGGGCAGGACGAGTGGGGACACACCAGTGCCCCCTCCTCTTGTGGGTGGGTGAGGACATTCCAAACTGTCAGGGAGGACCAAGGCCAAAGGACTTATAAAGTTCTGCTCTCACAGTCCAGCCCCATTAGTAGACGTGTCCCACCGCCCGCTCCCCCCCCTCACTGGGGGCTCCTAAAGTCAGGATCGACTTGGTGACAGGCTTGGCCGGTGCTCCTTCTCCCCACCGTGCCCCCACCTGGGCAGGCAGGGCAGGTGTGGTGAGAATCCACCCTCAGCAGACTGGGGGGGCGGGGAGCCAAAGTCACCCTGACGACGTGGCATTGTCTGTCAGAGGTCATCAGACACACCCAAGATGCCACACCGGCCCCACCACTTACAAGCTGTGTGATCTTAGGCAAGTCACGTCATCTGAGCCTCAGTTTCCCCCATCCATCAACTAGGAATAAAATGGTAGCTAGCTCCTTGACTTGCAGCGGGAATGAAAAGAGTTAATCCCTGCGAGACGCACACGGACTAGGGGCCGGCACGCAGGGAGCGCACGCAGCACTGCATCGATGCCAAGATAGGTTTTTAGTATCAGGGCTCATTGTGCAGTCAGAGGTTAGCTATTTGGTATTACTGCGAAAGAAAGCCCATCTCTGCTTGGAATTTCACCATTAGAGATTCGGTCCTTGGCATTTGTGGTCTTCGGGAGTCCCTGCTTCAAAGGTGAATGGGAGCGTCAGGATGTGGGCTAGTGCTACGAGAGAAAGAAGACACTGCCCCGCTTCTCCTAGGGACACTCTGGTCTCGGTCGTTCTGACAGTCTTGCCTTCCTCCCCATCTCTCACCCTTCTGGGGCTTTCTGAAGCAGAGACTGTCAGTTTTCCAGGCTGAGACTCCCTGGGCCTGGGAGGAGGAGGGGCAGAGGAGCACGGGGGTGCTGGAGCTGGGGGCAGAGGGAACACCTGGAGAGAAAGGGTGGCGGGTGGTGGCAGGGAGCCCAGGTGAGCTGACCCAACTCTCTCCTCGCCAGGCCCAGGTAACCAACCTCCAGACACCCTCGTAGCTCAACCACGAAGCTTTAATCACCCAAGCTGGGACGATGTCTGGACGCCAGGTAAGCCGTTCCAACACTTACAGCCGCTTGAGCCATCCCAACAATATGTCCTTTCCCACCCACGCTCCAGGCTGCGCCCACGCCACCAGCCTGCACAGGGCTAACAGTCTCAAGCGCCCCCACGCTCCGAGTAGCTCTGGCTCAGAGTTCAGCAGCTGCAGCAACCACTCTGAGTGGTCCTACAAGCCCAGCTCCCAGACGCTTCCACTGAGGAGAATCTGCATGGGCCAACCCTACAACTCCAAGTGGGTAGAAAGCAGTCATCTGATGCATCCCAAGGTGGCCAGAAAGTCCTCTTGTCGTGGCAGCCCCCACTGCCTCCTCTGTATAGACCGTCCCTCGCGCCCCTCCAGCCCTACCTTCCTGGAGCAACTCATCAGAGGCATCAAGTACTTGGACAGATCCAACGCCACCTTCTGCAACAGCTGCCCCAGACCATCGCTGAGCCTGCCACGGCTTGCAGCCAGCTGCCTGGAACGCGCCGCCGACTCCTTCAACCTGGACCACCTGGATCACCCCTTGCCCCGATGTTACTCCACCCCCGGTGCCAGCATGGCCACCCCTGCCGACTCCACCACCAGCACCTACATAGTGCCGGCCCCCAGGGGTGCCGAGGCTTTGCAGAGCCTGGGCGACTCCACCAACACAAGCCTGCCCTGCTCTTGCCGGCACCTCAGCCCCGAGCCGCCGCGCAGGGCAGCTACAAAGTTGCCTGAAATCCCTTTGCTTAGCAACGGGCTCTTTGCCTTGGGCCATCTGCCCAAGTTCTGGGAAGCAATCCGCTCGGGCTGGAGCACCCCCGAGCCCGTCGACAAACCCTCGAGCTGGTGGTAACATTGACCTCAACCATGACATGGGCACGTGTCCATCAGGCTGCAGTTGCGGAAAATAAATTGTGGCAAAATGCTCCTTCTGAGGCTTTGTTGGGGGGAATCGCCATTTAGATTGGGGGTGACAAACTCAAGGGCCTCCAGGGCCAGGCAGGTAGAAGTGAAACGAGTGACTTGGGCTGGGTGGCAGCAGGGAGTGGTGGAGACTGGCGGAGAGGACAGGGACGGTGCCTGGCCTCCACCCAGCTCCCAGACAGGCTGTGGCCTTTACAAAGAAGCCAGGGACCTGCTTTTTACATGTTAGCAACAAATTTTAAAATGTCATGGTGCTCTGTGGGCTGAACAGAAACACTTGCGGGCTGAATGTGAAAGCCCCCAGGCCTTGGTTGGGAATCTGGTTTATATCTTGAACGGATCACTGGAGAGGTTCCCAGCCTCCCGTAGCCTCAGTTTCCCCATGTGAAGAAACAGACTGGCTGTTCATTCCCAGTTCCTATCCGTATTCCTCTCTTTTCAGGATTGTTGATTTTAGGATAGTCCCAGGTGAGCAGAAATATAGGAGTAATAATAAGAACAACAAACAGTCATAGAGCACCTATCCAGCAGGAACTATTCTAAGTCCTTTATACATATTTTTTTAAAAGGTGTGATTTTAATGACCAGGGCCTAAGGTAGACGTAGAGAAAAGCTTCCCGATGGCTAGTGTGACAGGCATTGGAACAGGCCACCAGGGACAGTAGCAGGCAGGGGGGTGGCCCCTCCTGGGAGATCTCTGAAGAGAGAGTGGTTCTGTCGGGCCAGGCGAGGGCTGGAAGGGTCAGAACGATCTGGCCCTTTTTTCCCTGAATTTCTTGCTAGGAAAGTATCTTCGGAAATGTTCCCTGGGCTACCAAGGGCTCCAAAGCTTCAGAGACCCAACTGATTCTGGTGCTGGACACCAGACATCGGACATCTGAAAATCGGGCCCCCACAAAGCACCCAGCCACCCACTGTCCTGCTGGGACTGGGATTCCAGCCTAGTTCCGCCACGAGCCTGCCCTGAGATCTTGGATACATCACTCCCCGCTCCAGGCCTCTGTTTCCCCATCTATAACATGGGTGCACCAGCTCTGATGATCTCTAAGGGCACGCTAGACTCTGATGTTGCTGTTTCCTCCTGGCCCCAGGCCAGGTCTGCAGCCTCCCAAGCTGAGATTGAGACTGCCCCCACCCAAGAACTCAGGCCTCCTGTGTCCCCAGTCATCTTCCCAGGCTGCCCAGGGGCCATTTCGGGCCTCAGGGCCCATCTCTGTGTGGTTATCAACTCCAGGCCTGATCTTCATTGCTGGAGCACTTCTCGTCTCCTTGGCAATGTGAAGGCCAATGGCAACTCAGGGTGTGGAATGGGGCTGACGTTGAGGCAATGCAGAACCTGGAGGCCCATCAGGTTCCGTGGCGTCCGGAGGCAGTGGCCTGCAGTGGCCTAACCCCTATGGCCAGGCAGAGAAGATGACAAAAGCCTGAGTGTCCCCACAGTGGGACTCCCATGGTGGCCCCATGGCAGGAGGAGGGAAGGGGGTGCCAATCCCCTGGCCCATTGAATTCACCTGCTCTTTTATTTTAACTCTGGAAGACAAGGGACATCCTGCCTGGGCCCAAAGCACAGCATGCAGCCGCTCCTGTCTCTGTCCGTTGCCTCCTTCCCTCCCAGGCTTCAGGCTGACGGGCCCTCACCTCACTGGCACCTCGGTCTCCAGGTGAACATTCATAGGAATACAACCTGTTAGAATCCACTTTGGCCTGGCTCGAGAGATAGTTCAAGGGCATCCTGACTCCCAAAGCCCCTGTCTGGCCACCTGACGCCACCCCCTTCCCATTCTAGATCTTTATTTGCCTGGCTCTTTGAGGCCTAAGAGCTGACATCCTGGAGATGGCCACCTCCAAAACAGTCCAATTGCCCAAAGTGAGAGTGCGAGACCCTTGCCTGGGCACTGATCTCCGGGTCTGCAGCATCTAGCCCAGTTCTGGCTCACAGTAGGGACTCGATTATTACATTAATGCTTATCACAGCGCCCAGTAGGTGCTCAGTAATGGTAACTACTACTATTCTAAGGACGGTACAGTGTCTCACGCAATGGATGTTCAATAATGGATGGATGCTCACTGCTCACAAGTCCCCTCCACACATTACTCAGCCTGAGCCCAGAGGAAATAAGCCTGGAGCTAGAGAGGGCCTTCTGCTCCACGTGGCCGTGCAGAGGCCACAGGAAGTCCCCCTGTCCACAGTTCAAGCCATGCATCTGCAGCTCCATGTAAACAGGAAGCAGCGTGCTGGCTGTGGAACAATGCCACGGCCTGCTGTGCTGTCCCCCTTGTGTACACAAGTGGCCCAGGTGTCCACACGGCTGGGAGTGGCTGAGGAAAGCCTTTGACACCTGCAGAAGTACCGGTAGATTATCAAGCACCCGCGCTGTGCGCCAGGCAGGCTGCCGAGGCCTGGCACATAGGCTCTCAACCCTCTCCTCCCTGCCAGGCTAGGTTTTAGTATTCCATTTTGCAGAAGGGGAAACTGAGGCTCAGAGAGAGAAAGTGACTTGCCTAAGCTCCTACAGAGCTGATTTCTATTCACCACTCTGACTGTTGACCAATGTCTTTTCCATCCACAGTGCAGTTTCTTTCTTAGTATTTATTGAGTGGATTCCAAGAGAAAGGGGCAAACCTTGGCCTACAATATATGCAGTAAATTAGACAAAGCAAGGATGGTGTTTAACCCGAGGATTTGGACTGAGATACCTCAGTACCATGTTCTAAACAGGGCAGGGCAAATCTAGAATATGCCCTTTCCAGTAGCTAGTAAACAAAGGGAGAGATTTCCTCAAAGGTCACCTATGGTCTCAATTGCCCAATCCAGTGGTTCCTGCATCATTTGGTATCATTGGGTATAGGAGCATGATATTTAATGCTTACATGTTTTTTAAAAAATCAAGGCTGGGCATGGTGGCTCATTCCTGTAATCCTAGCACTGTGGGAGGCCAAGGTGGGAGAATTGCTTGAGGTCAGGAGTTCAAGGCCAGCCTGAGCAAGAGTGAAACCCCATCTCTACTAAAAATAAAAAAAATTAGCTGGGTGTGGTGGTGTGCCACTGTAGTCTCAGCTACTTGGGAGGCTAAGGCAAGAGGATTGCTTGAGCACAGGAGTTTGAAGTTGCAGCAAGCTATGATGACAACACCACTGCACTGTACCTGGGGCGACAGAGTGAGACTCTATCTCAAAAAAAAAAAAAAAAATCAGATTTGATCCTTTTCAGACAGGTAATTTGATATCACCGTTCTATGGTCCTAGAAAAATAAATGCAGCTTTTTATATTACCAATGTGCATGTGTAAGGGACGTAATTCACCCCTGTTACTCATGAACTTAACCCTCCAAGTTTCAGCCCGCCCCATCCCTCACCCCATTCCTGAGCCCCACTTCATCTCTCACTGCCTTTTCTGTCTACACCTGACTGGTCCTGCTCGCTCTACATGGGAAACATAACACTAGGAGTGAGGGGCACCCCCACCTCCACCCCAGAAATGCATCCACGCTGCCCTCTTTTCAGTAGAAATCTTCGGGAGGAACTAGTGCTGTGCCTTAGTTGGTACCACCATTTTTGGCAAACTCTTTTACAGCCTCTGGGCCCCTCCCAACCGGGCAGGAATTTCTGGTGAACAATCGAACAAAGCCGGGAACTGGGGGGAAGGCACAGGACATTCCAAAAGGATTTCTCTCAAGCTCCAAAAGACAACATGCAGGAACACTGCAGAAAACCCATGGCTGAGCAAAGAAAACCATGAAAGGGACGGAAAATCTGCCCACTAGGAAGGGCAGTGCAGGCTGGAGGAAGGAACCAAGGGCTGGGAGGTCAGGAGGCCTGGTTGGGAGGCCCCTCTCTGCCACTTGCATCTCTGCCAAGGCCACTCCACCTCCCCAGCCTCAGATTTCTGCTCCTTGAAAACTGAGGGATCCGCAAAAGAAAACACATGGATTCACGCACAGCCCTTCACAGCCACGCTTTGTTTATAACAAAGACCTGGGAATAGCCCAGATATTCAACAACACCATAAGGTTAATGAACTATGGTGTGTTGATGAGACACAAAACCAAATAATTATTAGAAATATTAAGTGCAATGGCAATATCAGCGCTATTCCAAGTAGCTAGTCCATGAATTGTTAGTGGTTGCCATCTGCAATAAGCAGCTTGCACCAGAATATAAATCTATGCACTGCTTCCAAGATGGGACAAGTATTGCCAGGAGAAAGTGTCCGCTGAGCTAAACTGTCACTAAGCTGTGCTTATTGGAACAGTTAATTTACACGGTGGAACAAGCTCCTTATCTGGTCCCAGACTGGTCATAAACAGTTCTGGGATTGGCACTGAGCCACACATGCATTTTTAAGTAGCCCTGGTCTTTACTGACACATAGATCTGTGTCTGTCTGTGCAAAAAATGTTAAATGAGAAAGGCAAGACATGAAATCACATGTACACACTGATACGTGTGTAATGAGGTAAAACACGTGATGTCCACACTGACAAAGGAAGGGAGAGGGACATTTCTGGAGCTCCAACTATGGGCCCAGCACAGAAGTCTTCTACAGTTGGAGCAGGGGTTTGGGGACAGGAATGTGAGGGGGTGTGTGGAGCCATAAGAATTCCAGCCGGCCTAGGGGGTGGGGGAGAAGTGGGGGTGGACAGCCACGAGTGACAAATTCAAATCCTGAAGACCATTTATGGTCAGCTCAGGAGCCAGGCTCTGGGGCAGCATTTGCAAAGTGTGTGGTGAGAAACACCAGTCCTATGAAACGTTAAAAGGTTTTTCCAAAAAAACAAGTGAGTTCCGTTCTCAAAGAGGTTGAGGAAGGTAGATTAAACAGCGCTGGACAGGCGGCTTCCCTGGAGGCCTGTTCCGAGACTTCTCTGTGCAAGTGTCCCTTGGGACGGTCAGCGTGTGAGAAGGAGTGCAGGGTCCCCAAACTCCTTTGACCAAAGAAGCCCTTTTCCAAGGGGCATCTCAGATGGCAGGTGACCCAGGAGGAACAGTGTGGGAAGCCCAGCCC